TACGCAAAACCGGTGCAAGACGAACGGAGTCATCAGTCCTAAGTGCTGGGCCTACAACAGGATGATTATTATTGGGGTGGTGAGAGGAACAAGAAACATTATGTGAAGGAGAAAGAAGGGAGTTGTCAGCAGTGGCCCGTTTTCGCTTACCCGCCCTGTTGTATGCAGCAAGTAAAGTGACCCGGCTGATGACACCACGTGACGGCCGATGTAGCATGAAAGTATTGTTCGTTGTGAATGTCATGGTTGTGCTGGAATCCTTTCAGGGCGCCCACACCTAGACAGGAGGACGATTAGGGTCCTCAACCAAATCTTTGGCTCAAAAGCCTAACCGCGAGGCAGCGGTGTTTGGCGGGAAATGCAATTGCATTGCTATTTCTGCGGAACAAGTCTCCACATGTTCCAACCCACACCTTGAGGACCAGGAGACTGTTTTCGTCAGACCTCTAGCCATTGACCAACTTGGTATGAGTGGTTGTCACGGGGACACTCTCCAGTATAGCTCAGTGGATCGCTGAGGTGCGCAAACCATCACACCACGATAAGGCCCAGTCTCTTCGTGACGAGGAAATTACACATACCTCAGTAATCGTATTAGCTCTGATGGGATTGTGTCTGATGAAGTCATTGCGAGAATTTCAAAGGCTCGAATTACGTTTGTGTTGTGAGAGTCGAGTAGTTCCCGGACGGGATTAGAAAGGAGACAGAATAGGAAGACGTAATGTACGCTTTAATCGTCTAATAACTGTAGTACATGAGCTGAAAATAGAGTGAGAATCACGAATTAATGGGTTATGCAAAGGTATGGGTTATATAGTCATGACAGTTTGCTAATTTGCGTCACTGGTTGCGTCAAAAGGTTATATCACTAGATCTTAAGGGTCGCGTGTACCAGCCTACAGTAAGGGCTGTGTTGTTGGTGCGAAACGTGGCCTCTGCGGACAGATGATGTGAGGCGTTTCCAGCTATTTGACCATCGATGCCTCAAGAGCGTGGCTGGTTTTGGATGGCGTCAGCGTGTTAGTAACAAGGTGAGTAGAAAAAGGGTATTTGGTTGTCCTGCAGGCACCTCATCCGAGAAAACATCCAGCACCATCGACTATGACGGCTCGGTCATGTGCTACGCATGCCGAAACACCGTCTACCGAGACGATTGTTGTTCTCCGTGCCTCCTTCAGGATGGCGCAAACCGAGAAGTGGACAGCACATGATTTGGCAGAAAGGTGTGAAGGCGACCACGAAGAGTTTGGGTGTTGCTGGTGTTGTACGCCTTCCAGGGTGGGGTCCCCGTGATCCCGTCTGTGCTTGGCTGAAGACATTGCAAGAAATGGCGGCTAATTGATGTCAGTGGCGTTCGTGCTGTCAGTTTCTTTCCGGATTGATTGAGGGCTTAGAGGTGTAGGCACCTCAGAATGGTTGTATGCATGGTTCCACACAACCCATCTGGTTTTATCGTTCGCACTTCGTGACTTATCAACATAGCCCCCAACATGTGTTGACACCCATCTTATAAGTTTATCTTATTGAAAGAAAGGGGACACTCGGCTTTATTTTCTGCAGCAGTTGGTCTGATCCGGCTGAGTGTTACTCTAATCCTTTGTCCGAATGGCTGACATCTCAACAATGTGCGAGAAGTGTGCCTGAAGCTCTTGATGATGTCTCCTCAAAGTTGTATACCCGTGTTCACCCTTCTTGCTTGTACCCTCGTAGTCAGTTCAAATAGTTCAACTATTTTGTCATTTATTTTTGAAGAGAATGGTCATAAACATGAAAATTGAATACAAGTGACGATTGCGAAAGGCTAACTGGAGAGTATGAGATAAAAAAACACAATTGTCTCATTCGACTTGCCATCAGCAGTCCCTCTCAGATGAGATGAATCCCAACGTATGTAACAATTTTGGTATGGAAACGCGCGCCTAAAGAACAACAATCGAAGAAAGGACAATGTTGATTGCTCTTCAGGGTGCGGTAAGCGCTAGCACAATCAAGGCTCGCACATCAGGCACAAAGTGTCCGTCGTACTGGGTCTGGTGACGACTCTGAAATTCAGTATCGACGCACGAAAAGTTTCGGCCAAGCAGGTGCACTCTCGCGACTTATCGGCAATTATAGTGCGTCAGAAGAAGATGTCATCGCAGCTTTATCTATCGATGACTAGCTAGAAGCTGCTCCAAACAGTCCGTGTCCAGAAGTTTTGCCCGTCATCCCGCCAACGACAACAAACACCATACGAGCCCTGTCTCAGCTCTGCAGCCATCATAGCCTTCCAGAGACTTTAGTGTCGGACAATGGGTCACAGTTCAGCTCCGACATCTTCCAAGAGTTTCGCAGGAGAAAACTTCGTCAAGCACATCCGTTCGCCACCGTACCATCTACAGTCAAACGGTCAAGCATTACGTTTTGTCGATACGTTCAGGCTTGCGCTGCTCAAATCTCGAGGGGAGGGGGCACCCGTCGAAGTTCTCCAGAGATTTCTTCTGGACTATCGGACCACTCCCAATGACTATTTGGAAGATGGGAAATCACCTACTGAAGCGCACGTCCTTCGGAAACGCGGGAGCGTAATATGCGATCTCTCAGTTGGCCAAGACATCTGGATGCGACCCAAGAATTAACTGCGTCTGTGGCATCTCTTGGAGCCACCAACATCCCAAAGTGACATTCCGTTCGACATTTTTCTTGACATTTTTCTTGAAATGAGGGCGACTACACCTGATGCAGCGCAGCCGACGACACAGGACGCCAGAGAACCAAATCTCCTCCCAAGGTGGACAGATCGCCATTGACGCCAAATCACTCCTTTTAAAATGGACCCCATAAAAACCCGTTACTGACCTTTTCTTCCTCAAGGGGAGGTGTTGGGGATGTCGGTATCACCAAAAACCGTTTATTTTTCGAGTTATTGCCAACTAAACCGCCATCCACACCGTATATTACCAAAGACGGAAAGGTGCAGCGTCTGCTGTGCTTGATGGGTCATGGAAGGTAAATGAAGCCGGAGCATTATTGGAAAAAGGTGCTCTCAGCAGCAAAAACACGTGGGTAGCTGGCCAAGTCAATCGAGTCCTGAAGCAGTTTCATTCGGGGCATCCTGTGATGAACCGGATGAAATCAACTGCACGCAGCTACGCCTACTGGCCACATATGGATCGCGACATCTCCGAATACGTCAGAGACTGTTCGAAGTGTCAACAGGCCGCAAAGGACCTTTCACGCCTTCCGCCTTCTGCCTGGCCTCAACCCGAACGCCCCTGGTCCCGAGTGCATGTCGACTACGCTGGCCCTGTTGATGGTCGACGCCTTCTCCAAGTGTCCAGAAGTTTTGCCCGTCATCCCGCTAACGACAACAAACACCATACGAGCCCTGTCTCAGCTCTGCAGCCATCATAGCTTTCCAGAGACTTTAGTGTCGGACAATGGGTCACAGTTCAGCTCCGACATCTTCCAAGAGTTTCGCAGGAGAAAACTTCGTCAAGCACATCCGTTCGCCACCGTACCATCTACAGTCAAACGGTCAAGCATTACGTTTTGTCGATACGTTCAGGCTTGCGCTGCTCAAATCTCGAGGGGAGGGGGCACCCGTCGAAGTTCTCCAGAGATTTCTTCTGGACTATCGGACCACTCCCAATGACTATTTGGAAGATGGGAAATCACCTACTGAAGCGCGCGTCCTTCGGAAACGCGGGAGCGTAATGTGCGATCTCTCAGTTGGCCAAGACATCTGGATGCGACCCAAGAATCAACTGCGTCTGTGACATCTCTTGGAGCCACCAACATCCCAAAGCGACATTCCGTTCGACATTTTTCTTGACATTTTTCTTGAAATGAAGGCGACTACACCTGATGCAACGCAGCCGACGACACAGGACGCCAGAGAACCAAATCTCCTCCCAAGGTGGACAGATCGCCATTGACGCCAAATCACTCCTTTTAAAATGGACCCCATGAAAACCCGTTACTGACCTTTTATTCCTCAAGGGGAGGTGTTGGGGATGTCGGTATCACCAAAAACCGTTTATTTTTCGAGTTATTGCCAACTAAACCGCCATCCACACCGTATATTACCAAAGACGGAAAGGTGCAGCGTCTGCTGTGCTTGATGGGTCATGGAAGGTAAATGAAGCCGGAGCATTATTGGAAAAAGGTGCTCTCAGCAGCAAAAACACGTGGGTAGCTGGCCAAGTCACATAGCAGTACCATCCGAATGGAGTCTGATTGAGCCAATTACAGGAGAGGAATTTGGCCGTACGATCTGTTCCTGCGCTAGGAATTGTGTCGCTCGCATCATAGCTGGGGATTTGTGCGCTCGTTCTCAGGTCGCGTATAGCCGTTGATCGTACGCGCTTCCGTACATAACAGTTGCCTTGCGCGTACAAGTTGACGCTTGTTTGTATCGAATGCTTCCTTCCAATTAATGTGTTCAGTTTTTACCTGGCAATGCGGGTTGTAGCTTGTTGATCGGAATCACAAACCTGTAGCTAAACTGGAACCATGAGAATTACACCTTCTTTGTTTTTTTTCAGCGGAATTTGCGCACTTGTGTCTTTGTATGAGAACTGCAGTACACAATAAAAACAGGAAGATACTCTCCTTTGACAGAAATACGAGCCTGCATGACAAGTATTTAACTGGACTCTTCTCTGTGTGTTTAGGTGCTCGTCTAAGGTTATTTGTCGCTGCAGCTCATCCTGATTAATGCGGCTATTTTTTTAGTTGTGCATGCTATTTTACTGGGCTCGAAATATCTCGGTGGCTAATGTTTGAACTTAGTGATCACAAGGTGTGCATCTCGACTGCAACCTGGTAGTTTCTCAGTCCTCGTGCTTCCTTCGGGTGGCATGGCAGTTGGGTTTCGAAAGGGTGTTACATCTGAACGATTATGTTATAATTATTACAGTGTTTTATGGAACTGCCACGTATTCCTTTCTACTTGCGTGACTGAAATACTTCCACAGAACCCATCACGTTATTCTGTGTTCTCCTCTGTTGGTGTTCAGGTTCAGCGCCGAGTCCTTCTCAAACGTCTTCCGGTGACATCCAGCTCACACCACGTACCAATTCTGTAAAGATACGGCCAAACGACCCACTGGTCGTCAACTTTACCTTCCAATCGATTTCGGACTACCCAGTGGATTTGTATTTTCTCACTGATCTCAGTTACACAATGAGCGATGACTTGGAGACTGTGTCTAAACTGACTAACGACATTGTGAAAACCATGCAGAGCGTGACAAAAAAACTCAAAATGGGATTTGGTGCATTTGTTGATAAGCCAGTTTTTCCCTTCGTTGTACCCACACCCGAGTATTTGCGAAACCCCTGTCTGAACGTTGGAACCAAGGGTTTACAATGCGATCCACCTTTTCTGTTCAAACATATTCTGGGACTGACAGATGACTATGAAAAATTCAGAGGTGAAACGAAAGTCACACGGGTGAGTTTCCGGTGGATATGTTTCTGTCTTTCAATGGGAGACGAACACCATGTGTGGTGGAGCCTCTAAGGTTTTTACCGTCAACTTCGGTACCTTGCTCCAAAATTTTAGGCTATACCCCCGGCAGGAAGTTAGCATTTGTGCTTATCACCTTTGATCAAAGTTCTCTGTTTCTGCTATATTCTTCATCAACCAGATGTCCCTACTCACAGGATAGTCTTTTCCGGTTACCCTGGCTATTCAACATGGTAGAATAATTGATAGTGTATACGACCTAAGTTGATAGGGTCGTTCATTCTCGTGTTAATCGTCCATGACATCGCCGGTGCCTCGCTGCCAGCTAGTCTGAAGGAAAAGGAAATTTCCGTTGCTAGCACATCATCAATATTCCGACGATCCACACCCGAAACTCTCGGTTATGTGGTCTGGACAGAACCGAATAGCATGAATGCTGCTGACACACTCTCGTCCTCAGTCTACATCGTGTTTTAGCTGTCCTTATCAAAGGTAAGGAAATACTGCCGAACAAACGGGTGACAGCATGACGAGAGTAGACTCATTCTACAGTCAACATGATAGAAACCTAATGGAACCAACGTAAAGCGGCCGCGATTGAAGCATTATGTGGTATATTTTTGTGAATTCACTCTGCTCCTATATCTTGATTTACGTCCCTTTCTCCAGCCATCCGGGAACTTGGATAGCCCTGAAGGTGGTCTAGATGCCTTGTTGCAAGTAGCTCGCTGTGGGGACTTGATTGGGTGGCGTTCGAGCGCCCGAAAGATTGTACTGTTTGCGTCTGATGGTGGATTTCATCTTGCTGGAGATGGTCGTATTGCTGGGTTGATTCGTCCTCCGCCAACTACTTGTCAAGTGAAGTATCAAGCGGACCGTTTCAATCCGAGTCTGCTCTACTACGGTTGGCACACAGCTGATCAGACAGATTATCCCAGCGTGGGAGAAGTGAGTTGGGCATCCTATATCCTATTGGTTTCGCGTGTTGCACCCTGACCTTTCACATTATACCGTTTTTCCTATTGTTTTTGTCCTGTCAGCGAAGCCCAGAAGTGCTGTACAGCTTTTCACCCTTGTTAGGAATCATCAACGATGCGAATCTCACGAAACCTAGAGTTTCGAATCCCCGACCTCCCGGCTAGTGGTTTGATCACTCAACAGTTCGGCCACGAGCGATTGGTCAGTAGTGTGTTTAGCTCTTGCTCAGACAGAACATGGCACCACTCATTAGTCAATCAAGGAAATTGCACCAAGTGGTCACGTAGTGACTGCTGGATTGACTACTTCAGAGGGAAGTTTTACTCACCTTGTGAAATTAGTCTTCCCCTGAGCCACTTATTGATTGATGGCGATGTGAGTTTTGGCAATTTTCAATAGATATTTCACTCCCTCATGCCATGTGCTGAGGAACTGCGGGGACTAGTGCACTTTCCTAGTCAGCAAGGTTTATACACCATTTCCAAACCCTCGTGCCTCAGTGACGTTGTAGTTGTGCTCATTTCGAAAGTGAGTACAATTTTTCAGCACCTAACAGTTGGCATATTGGGTTTACTGTACCCCCTTTAGGTGTTTTTTTGGGAGACGATTTTTAGGGTAGACACCGCAACGCCTCTGAGAGCCACACTGGTAAATCTACATTGCTTTGTTTGTGATAAATCAGGAATGTCAGACGAACAGCGAGACCGAAAATTGCGAATTTCCCGAGCCACGGTACTCCTCTTTCTTTGAGATCCGGATATAAATTTCGATACAATATTCATGATTCTTATCTTCAAACGTCCAGGCGGTTTGATTTCCCAGGAATATGTTTCTTTCCACTACTCATAATTCCCGACCGAGAACACGATAATTGTCTCTCAGTGTTTGCAGTTTAACGTGATGCTTAGTAAATGTGTGTTGGTTTCCCAAAATCCTCAGCCATTTGAGTCGTTCCGAATTCATTAGGTTGGGGCAAGGGGGTGAACATAATATGTTCGCTTCAGAAAGACCTGACGAATCCCATCAAGAGTCTACAGCATGATGGTCCCATGTATAATCAACCTCAATTCTAAGCTCGTAGACGGTTAATTATCAAAGCCAAATCAACAAAAATTAGGATGAGCAATTGAGCCTTTCACAAGTAGTCATCTTTTTGAGCCCGGTCGAAAGCCTGTCACATCATAACTCACATTTAAACTGGACTTATTGGCTGCCCAATACAATACGTAAGGCCCATAGCCTCATACTATGCTCTTTCAGTGCTGGTGCTAACTTTCTGAATTGTTTACCGTGTTGTCCCGAACTAGCGACCCACCGTTCGCCGAAATAAATGCCCCTCCCTCTGGGTAGAGCAGTTTCGAACCAGAACGTCATGAGATCCGTATACACTGCGTTCCTCCCCCCAGATTTTTGGTTGTAACACTAGTGGTGTAGGTCACGTGATCTGCGGCAGATTAATCAATCTTGTCTATGTTATTGATCCTTCGAAGGAGAAGTTGACGCTCAAGTAGAAATTGACAAAAAACGATTGCGGTTAACTAATCTAACACCTCATTCTTCAGAACTACCCGCAGCCAAACTTTACATACCGTCAGTGTATCCGCAAAGTGAAACCGAACCATCAGTCCCATCTACTATTCGTGTTCTAATCGGCAGACCAAAGGCTGGGATATGGAAGCTGCTGTCATAATCGAACTTCTCTTGACACACCCCTGCTTGTTCACACTTGTTGATTCCGCTTGCCGTTTGATCCTGTGAGAGGTTGTCTTCGGTATCATTAGCCAATCGTTATAATTTTCTTCTGGCTACTTTCTAACCAGATCGCGCAGGTCCTCACGGAAAAGGACATCAGTGTGATATTTGCCGTGGACCAAAAGGTGAACTCGCTATACACCAAATTGGCCGAGTTTCTACCCAGTGCTGCCGTGGGCATACTGACCAACAGCTCGACCAATATCGTTCGGTTACTGCGTGATAATTACGACAAAATTGCTAACAAGGCAGAACTAATGACCACTTATGACGCAGAGTATCTTGATGTAAGTTATTTTCATGTACTTTGGAGTTTTTTATACAGAAATTCCATTGTTTCTAAGCTTCTACGTTTTGCCGTGGTCTATGTTCACTTTGATTGGGTTTAGTTCGGCTTGAGCTGTTTCGATGAGATCTTCCAGTTGTTTAACAGACGAGCCCTATCGGTTAGACAACCACGCCTTTCATCTTTCGTGACCGTACCAAGTAAACTAGGCTGATTGACTGACGTGATGTGACCAGAATTCTGTCCAATAGCGCGACATTGTGCATTAGCATCTTATTTTGCTCAGTGATGCTTACGCTCCGCTATCTAGCTAGGTATGGTTTTAGTTCCAAGCGGAACGTTTTCGCAGCGAGATCCACATATGACCTTCAGCAGTGTCGTCCCTTTCATCTAATTCATCCTCTTGTACAGAGTTGTTTGTTAGTTGTTTGTTAGATTTTGAAACTTTGGACACCTGTGTACTGGGGAAGTGTGTGGGATGTTCACGGAATTTATGTCATTAGTCGCATCATGTTCTATCAGCCTGAATTTCAACTTTGGTTTTCATTAGCTTAGAACGATAACTCTTTGGTCTCCCCAAATAACTGAGCACCCGCAGCCAGTTGACCATTGTATGGCGAATGAGAGGGTGCGTTCTGATTGATCAGAACATCAACCATCTGGCGTTTCAGTTCTATTATTACCCAATCGCCATAGCGCTAATGCAGTGGTTCTCAACCTGTTCTGCTCCATGCACCCATCCGACATATCACGACAATTCATTACAAAACCGGTTATCTGCGTATGAGATCCTCCCATGCATAGACAAATTGTTGCTGAACGAATGAATGACTACCAGCCACACACGATTAACTAGGGAGAGAAACAAGAAGGTTGGCTTGAGCACGAATGCGATACCAAAAATATGACTGTGGGCCAACTTGGACCATGCAGTTACCACAACCATACGACTTCCAGATGACCAGATGTTGAGGGACAAACCAGCAGAATGTAGGTTATTTCTCATGTATCCCTGATTCATGGTTTCTCTTTAGCTAAGATTGAATAACCACGGAAATCTGTTTGTTTTTTCCGGCTCTCTTCAATGTTGCGTGACCTGTCAAGCATGTTTTTATCCCAGTATATATTACCGAATAGATATCAAAACAAGATATCAGTGGGACAGAAAGCATTCACTGTAGTCCCACTCTGCAAAAAGAGTGTGAATAACTTGTGTAAACGTCTCCGTGACATCAACCTGGTTGTTGTAGCGTCCGGTATTGCCTGGCACAGACTGGTCGTTCACGGGGAGAGAACCCTGCTGAGTTTCATCGTGGTCCAGCATACAGTCATTGCATCTTCACTTCACGGCAGGTGGTTGAACACCGCTATAGCCATTGACAATAAAAACAATAGTATTTTTATAATTCGAAATCGGTCTTCGATTCCGTTCGCTGCGACGACAATTTATCAACCAATGGTGTCCCATTCAAGTTCTTCTCTCCTAAGAGCACCAACTCTCGTGGGTGCAAAAACATTAGTATTTTTATAATCCGAAATCTGTCTTCGATTCCGTTCGCTGCGACGACGATTTATCAACCAATGTTGTCCCGTTCAAGTTCTCCTCTCCTAAGAGCACCAACTCTCGTGGGTGATCTTACAACGGATTCATTGGCATCGGGCGAATCTGTCCTCCATCATCCTTCTTTCCCAAATCTGGTATTAATATGTCCCTCGAATTTTCCTCACCTGTCTCTAACAACTCGCGGGTTGGAATGCTTTGGGTAGACAATGAGTGCGCTGGTGAAATTCTCTTTCAGGAAGGTCTCTCAGCAATGGAAATAATTTTAACTGTAAATTAATTCGGTCATGTGGCTTGGTGTACACTTTGCACCGGTAAACTGCAACGTGTCTTTACAAGGCTGGATGAGATCGAACCCACAGATCATGTCAACAAATGAGTTGACTTATGTGACAGATAAATTCACCCACCTGGTTGGCTGCATAGGTACTATGGGACTTGGGATAGACGAATCAGGAAGGTCGGGGCACATTCAGTTGCCTGAGAACATCATAAACGGGAGATTCAGCTGGGTTCCGGGTGAGTCTCTCGAAAAAAAAACAAATTAGTTTGCAAATGAGTGTATATTCGCTAAGTTCGTGCAATTTGGTTTCAAGTAGAACATAAGGTTGACGGAAACCCGTGGACTGCGCTTACCTGATGAGCCCCAAAAAGGGCGAAACCGGTCGTGGGCTGTCGACGGATTTTCAGCAACCTGAGTAGTACATTACAAAGGTCAGGGCGGTTCTCACCATAGCCTTGTCGGGACACCAGGCTCTTCATTAAGAATGGTGGTTCAGAATGATGCACTAAAATGTGTACTGTACCATACCAAATGTATCTCCGTGAGACATTTCCCACATCTCGTGGGAACATCAGCACTGCTGAGGTCCCTCGAATAGCTTCCGGTAGAAGCGGCTCACCTACTGTATACGAACTAAGTGCACCTCGTCGACTAACCTGGTTAGGACAATGCTTTGTATATCAGAGGTTCTGCTCTTCCAACTGTGTGTTAGATGGAAACGGTCTAAACGTGGTCAGTCCATAATCTGCCAACGAAGCATGAAAATCCTGACCAGACGCCTCAATTATGATGACTGCTGTCGTTCTCCCAAATTAGGATCTCGGGACGAGATACTTACGAAAATGGCGTGCAAACTTTAGCTTGTGGACGGTTGAATTCAGTAAACCTTTGAATATTTCCCACATTGGGGCGAGATAGCCCAAGTGGTCAGAGCGCAAATTTACTGACCGGAAGGTCCGTGGTTCGAATCCGACTTCCGCCTCTCGACTCCCCCTGTCTAGGCTTGGGCAACCTGGCAGTTTCCCAGCCCTCATGCTTCCTTCGTGTGGCATGGCAGCTAGGCACCGAAACGGTGCTACAGCTGAACGCTTTCTTCTTTCCCACAGTAAAAGGCTATCCTTGCTCTCATTCCCACTCATCTCGGTAAGTGAAACTAAGACACCTGGGGCCAACTTACCTTGGTACACGGTCTACACCTAGCGGACAACTTGAACCGCATAAAAGTGTAGCACATCGACAACTAGGGACACTTGGCGAAAGCCAATGATTTCAACTCTTATCGCGCTCTTGTAATCCTTTGTTAGCTCTCTAGCGACTCATTATTACTCGTAACTTGCTTAGTTCCATGGCCTCTGGCTATTCGTATATCAGGCGACCTCTGGTCGGTCATTATTTTTGTGTTTACTTTGTCATTGAATCGGTGCATTAAAACTCCATTGTTATTGGCCCGTTCACGCTAGTGGTGCTCTGCTGACTCATCCAAGTTATGCTTTTGTATCTTTGCATTCCAGTATGAACTTGCGTGTATTAACTCTGAGAACCGTTTTTTCTTGTGATTTCTTGTGCCACAGATTCAGTGTTTGGCGTTTGAGGAATATAAATTGGGGTTTCCTTGTATCACAACCTTTGATGCCTGCTAACAGGTGCTCTTATCGTCATAAGTGAAGTCAAATGCCGGAAGATTTTTTTCAACCGAAAAATGTATGAAGGCACAGAACCAGTGGTGTGACGTGGATTGCACGCATTGTGCAATCAGCTGTCCGCTTTTCCGGACGAACGTGCCCTTCCGCTTCGCGCTGTCCGGTTTGCAGTTGTTAGACTTTCGTTTTCGAAGCCTGCTACACGAAGGCTCTTTTTGCTTTTCGAACTTCAGTCTTTCTCATTTGATGAAACTAGACAAACGATGCAGCATACCTCTGTGGTGCGCTCAGACAAGGTGGGAATCTTTTCGAATTGGATGGTGGGACCCCAACCACCCGCTAAACGAAGGCTATTTTTGCTTTTCGTACTTGAGTCTCTCTCAATCGATGAAACTAGACAAACGAAGCAGCACACTTTTGTGGTGCGCTCAGACAATGTGGGAATCTTTTCGAATTGGATGGTGGGACATGCTCTTGTTGGCAGCATATTGTGGATACATTTCACTGGGCTTTAGTATGCTACTGTGCACCACTTCCGTAGACAGCACTGAATAAGTGTCCTGTAAAACAGGCACTACTACTACATGGAATTCCCGTCGAGTAGGTGACTCCTTGTGATTAGTAATGCCTTGTGGAGATTTTTATGGAAGCTTGTAGCCGTATGTGGCGTTTTTGATCAATATCTACTATCGCCCCCAAGGTAGATGGAGATGTTTCAGTGGTTAAGGTGCCAATCTAGTGACCGGAAGGTCCGTGGTTCGAAACCAACTCCGACATCTCGACTGCTCCTGTCTAGGTTTGGGCAACCTGTCTGTATCCCACTGTTTCCCCGGGTGTCACGGCGGCTAGCCACCGGGAGGTGTTCACGCTGAACGATATATCAGTTTCAGCATTGACGTAACCTTTCACAGTCGTCCACATAAGAGACTTAAACTAGTTGGTTCCCTAGCACTACTTTGAACGAATTCGATCCTCCTGAAAGAGGCTAATTTGGTCGAGGCTATCAGCAGTGACAGTGTTGGTGGTTATATCGAAATTGTGTCTTACAAATAACTCGTGCTCTCCGCATTCCATAATGTGTCCTTGTCGTAGTCTCTGAACAAACAATAAAGCATTAAGTCGACTTTGCACTGTTACTTTTTTCCTATTAGGTTCAAGTCTTTACCAGATGTCACAACGAGAAAGAGTTTAGCAAGAAGACTGTCTGCGGTGATCATCCTGTGGGAGGACGCATCGAATACCAAGTTGCTGTGAAACCAAAACGATGTTTTCCGGGGAAGAAACTAGTGAACTTGAAGATGGTCGCGCTGGACGATCAAGTGAGTCTTGTTGCAGTTTAAGTGGAGTTTTTAATCATTGGTCTGTCTGAAGCACAATGTCCTCGAGGATCGATTTGTTGAGCTATTGGCACCACTCGTTATTGTCTGTGGAAATTCAGAGAGCCATATTTGAAACATGGGTAACGTATGATTTGACACGCGAACATGAGGAGATCAACAATAGTTTAGACGTTATGCTGTAGAGACACCCGTTTGCACACCCATTCGATTTTCACGGGAGACTCACTTGAATCCAAAGTGATGTTATAATTGCAATATACCTTCTAGGACGCTGTCCAAATGATCTTTTCTTGACTTGGTTAGAAACTCCACCAGTTGTGACATAGGTCACTCTCATTGCTGTCAGTTACCGTCTGCCCGAGTGCTGACCTCCCCCTTTCTTCCATTTTGTTCTTCTTTGAACCACAAATTATTTGTGCTGTTTGTATGTTAGTAAAGCTCCCAACTTCGTATGGCGCCATTGACCGAGGTGAACTCCTGTCTGGTTGATCTCTATTCCTAACCACAGTTCTACCGATTTTCTCAACAACTGTTTTTTGTCATGCTGATCGTTGGACGTTTTCTCGTAGATACACTAAATGACTTGTACTCCATGACACTCCTTTCGGTTATGGACTTTCCTGTTTCATCAGTGGCCATCGGGTTTCACTTAGTTATTCCGCTGAATTTTGTCTGGTTTTGTTCAATGTTGACTCTCATTTCTCTTCTGCCTTGTTTTCTTCCAGGCCGTCCTTGAAGTGGAATCTGCTTGCAGCTGTCCAACTTGTGACCAAATGCCTAAACCGAGCTACGCAACTCAAGTGTCACCGCGATGTCAATCACACGGCTATTTGCATTGTGGCTCGTGTCAATGCATGGATGGATATTTTGGTGACTTTTGTGAATGTTCTACTGCAACCAGTGCCGGTGGTGATGAAGCTATGATGAGACAATGTACTAAACCAGGAGACAAAGAGGTGGGTTTTGCGATAAACATGGAACATACTCGTGGATCTTGTTGATGTAGGTCCTAAAGGTACATCATATGATTACTCGAGACCAACTCCTGTAGCGAGATCTAGGGCAAGATGGCTCAGTGGTTAGAGCGCGAATTTACTGACCGGAAGGTCCATGGTTCGAACCCGACCTCCACCTCTCGACTTCCCTTGTCTAGGCTTGGGCAACCTGGCAATATCCCGGCCCTCGTGCCTTCTTTGGGTAACATGGCAGCTAGGCACCGGAAGGGTGTTACAGCTGAACGATTATATCATCTACCTGTAGTTCCCTGTTCTACGCATTTCAGCTGAGGACGTCTTCCGTCCACAGTGGGCACACAAGTTTTAGGATGCCGTTCATCCTGGATAAGTATTTAAGGATTCAGCACATCATGGGTTAAAGGCATGTGCTGAGTCCTATGTTCCTTGTTGGAATAACTTCCCAGTGGAAGTGGCTCTTATCATCAACACAACATGGAAGAACTATCTGGGTGATCATGGTCACTGTTCAAGGCTAGTTTCAAACATTCCCATTTGATGGGATATCGACAGATGTGGATTGAAGTGATGTCAGCAAAATGAAACGAAGATCCTTAAAGCTAGAGCTTCGGTTTCCTCCAACAAAACATCTGGCGATGCTATGAGATTAAATCACCGGCGAAGCCAAATTTTCAGTGTTGTTTTTCACGTTACTGTGAGTTGACCATTAGCATAGAAAATCCCCGGTCATCCGGCTGTAGGAATTTCGGAACCAGTCAATGAATATCGTGTCGTTGAGCCACGTTTTCTTTCTATCAGAACGCCTAGTTTCCTAGATCCCGTCAACCTTACGTTCTACTGATTCACAGTACTTTCACCTGCCAACTAATTGAACTTTAACGGGAGACTCAACTGGATCCCGGAGAATCTCTCATTGGTATTATTCCTATACTTAAAAAAGCGTTCAGCTGTAGCACTTCCGGTGCCTAGTTGCCATGCCACCCGAAGGAAGCACGAGGGCTGGAATACTGCCAGGTTGCCCAAGCCTAGGCAACTGGATCCCGGAGAATCTCTCATTGGTATTATTCCTATACTTAAAAAAGCGTTCAGCTGTAGCACTTCCGGTGTCTAGTTGCCATGCCACCCGAAGAAAGCACGAGGGCTGGGATACTACCAGGTTGCCCAAGCCTATGCAGGGGAAGTCGAGAGGCGGAGGTGGGATTCGAACCAGGGACCTTCCGGTCAGTAAATTCGCGCTCTAACCACTTGAGCCATCTCGCCCTTCCTATACTTAACGTACTGCACAATAACTGTCTATCGTCAGTCATCAAGTTTCTACATTTATGGCCGATCATCATATTTCAGAGGGGATCGCCCCCCGAACATCAAATTCGTTCATAATGCTGAAGATATTTCCGATATACCTCATACGAAGTGCGCGCACATGAGCGTTGTCCACGAAAAATTCTCCATGAGGCCAAGTTAAACTAAATCGCCTTATAAGGTTGCTGAAGACTTCGACAACCCACTACTGGCCCAGCCCATCTTGGAGCTAATCAGGCCGGTGTTATCTCCTGGTTCCCACGAATCCTATTTCTTACTTGGACGACAGAGTGTACGTCAGTTTCTTGCACACACCACTACTGATAACATTTTTGCGTCCCCTTGGATATCTCTATCCCTCTTCGCACAATCAGACGCATCTCATCTGCCTGCGACAGGTAGCCGTCAGTTCAACTACCCTATACACCGTAGTTGCCGTGGTTCCACAATCCACTACGCATTTCGCACATCACAATTACCTTGTTTCAGTTCACCTTTTGGACTGCAGTAACGTGGCTGCATTCGAGTGACTCTCATCCTGGTCGACATTTACGACCAATCAAGTGATCTGATGATCGTGTTTTTCAAGGCATTTTTTCTGAATATTGACTGCGTGTGGGGGTGAAAGTCGACATCCCACTAGAAAGAAAGCAACGCAGGCTACAAGGCCACCGGGTATTGGTGGAAGAAAACTACACAAGAGTGATCAGATTTTTTCAAGAATATCTCTCATTTGGTCTATTCAAATTCATATCCAAATCGATGGGACTAGACGCGATTTAAAGGTCAGCGTTTCTTTTCTTGACTGCAGCGGCATTCCAGTCGCCCAGAGGATAAAAATACCACAAGTTGGTGATTTTGCCCTTAGTTGGCTTCTTGGTGTGGTGAGTGTACTCGACCAAAGTTAGTGAATTCAAATAGCCCAACAAGAACACTTCAATGGAAGCGGCTGGCTGCTCTGCTCTGCAACACCGTGCAATTTCCATTCGGCTCAACGAAATCAAACTGATGTCTACGACATCACCTGATCAGCATTGCTCAGCTAATTAATTTCTTAGACTCACGCGTTTGGGAAAGCTTTTACGCACTTTGGCCTATCCATGTTATTTAAGTGCACTCCCCACAATTGAGAATCAGCAATTGAGCGAGTTAAAGAACTACGGAGTTCTCGTATGCGGCTGTGTTTGCTCACCATTGCATACCGGTGCTGCTTAACTAACGTTTTGAGAAGCAATTATTCGTAATTGAGTGTAACTAGTGAAAAACATTACTTTGGTTTGTCCAGGGAGGAATTTTCCAACATTCATGGCTTTCAGTAAATTAAGCTACAAGGCCGCCAAGTGAGATGGGACCAGAAGCCGCCAGAAGTCTATCGACCAACTGATGACAGTACAGTCCATTTCCGGCAGGTAACAGCGGGTGAGCAGTAGTCACTAACCGGCCAGGTAGGGGCAAGTGTTAACTTTTGGATAACCACACTAGAATATTTCCGTATACAGCAACACAATCTGCAAATTCTCAGGGAGATTTTCCAGTGTGTTCAGAGGGAATCCTGTACAGGGAATGAATAGGAACTGGGACAAAGCAGTTTTTCGGGGCACATCACACTCATTTCCTTGCTAACCCGGACGTAATGCCCTAGTTGTCTAGGGTGGTCCTGTTAGAGGGGTTAATTCAATGTCATCATCTTCATTAGCAGCAACTTCACTGCGACACAACTTCATCGTTTTATTTGAATAAGTC